TTCATGCAGTTGCTGGTATGTCAGAACGATATCGTCATTATGAATCATATTATAATGCTACATTTCATTATTTAACTGCATCACCTGATCAATTATATCCATTTTTACGTGAATTTCTTGATCGTGAACAATTTCCATTAGGTTCTTATCATATGAGACATTTTTCATGGTTTGATATAAATTTTTTTCAATTTTTCTTATCAAAATCATTTATAAAACAAAAGGCAAGTATTTTAAATATGTTTATTCAAGAAACATATTCAAGAAAATTTATTTTATTTGGGGATATTTTTCAAAAAGATCCAGAAATTTATGCAGATATTTATCGAAAATATCCAGAAAGAATTTTAAAAATATTTATACGTGTTTCACAACTTAACGAACCAAATCGTTTAAATAAAGTCTTTCAACAAATACCAAAATCAAAATGGGATGTATTTGTTGATGGATTTGATTTACCTGAACATTTTTTTTGATTTATTCTATTTATGAAATAAAAAAAATCAGTTTAAATTAGCAGAAAATGAATATGTAGAAAGTAATGCAAAATCGTTATGTCTTTATATGCATGTATACACATACAGTGGTTTACAAAAAGACTTGTATTACATTATTGGAAGATGAGAATTCATTCTGCCAGAAAAAATCTACCGATATACAAAAGTATCATTGCCTGCAATCAGCTATTCATTCAAAAAGTTTAGAACTTAAAGTTTTCTAGGATATCTGTCAGCGGAAAATAGCAAAATTGATTAGACGAAATAAAGAGGTGGCAGTGAAGGAATTTATTGAAACATGATGTGAACAATGCGAATTCACTATTTCCACTAGTACAGTCTCATAGTATTTGCATTCAACTGAATATAAATAGGGAATATGTTCTGCGATCAGTAAAATAATTGAAATATTAGTAAATATATTAATTGGTCAGTTTTCAAAAAAAGCAGTAAACAATTCAAAAGTGGTCAATAGATTTTGTGGAAGTAGCGGTGAAAAAATATGATTTTTACCAGTAAAAAAAAGAAAAGTAGTACATCTTTGCACAAGTTTACATTTTTTTACTTTCCATTTCATTTTATTTACTGATCGTTTAAATTTTATTATAGACCTATCAAATTAATTACTGACCATTCAATAATTCTATTGATTTTTGAATTTTTTGTTTTACTGACCGTTTCATTTATTCTACTGACCACTTAAATGACAGCCGAAGATACTACTTTTTATCTGCTAAGTAAGATTTCGATAGGTAAATTTGTCGAATGTTAAGTTTATTAATAAAAATATTTGCTAAATGTTTAATACTTAATACATGACTAAAATATTTTTTCCTCTCTTTCAGTATATCATACAAAGGGCAATACGTACGAAATACATTTTTTTTTCTTTATCAGACAATGTAAACTATCTTTAGCAGTAAATGAGAATGACCATGAAAAATTTTATTAATAAAATACCTGTATAATTGAATTTTTTGTTTATATATTTATCAAGAAAAACGAAAAGTTTAAATTTAGCTGGCACTTAAATAGAAACCGTAATTTTCGTTCTACTTCGACGATGTTCTTTTAACGTGTATTTCACTTTTTCGTTCTGTAAACTACTTCTTTTTTTTCTCATTGTATAAATACTCATTACCTTGAATTTAGATATATGTCATTGATGTAAATATTTTCATATTTTCCCCATTATCTCAATCATGATCACATATATTTTATTTCGCATTAGTTGTTTACATCAAATAACGAAAGACAGACATTTAATTAAGGGTATTTCGTGAGAAAAATATTACCTTGATTTATCATATAAACAAGTGACGAAAAAGAAAAATCAATGTTTTAATAAATTAAAATAATATTTCGTTCTTTTATAAAAACATTACTTTTTTTCTTCCAACAAACTAAACTTTGCGTCCTTCATACGTAAAAACACCATTCCGAACGTAATCGAACTTATCGAATTTGTACGTACAGCGATTATATTTTTTTCAAACATAATGTCTATTCTCGTAACTACTTTCGATATGATTGAATCATGGACAGTTAGTATTTGGCTATCGATTATATTCTTTGGTCTTTTAATAGCATATATATATGAACAAATTACATATATATCAAAACGTGGTTCACTTCCTGGCCCAAAATTAACTGTTCCATTTATTGGTGGTATAATTCATATGTTATTAGCACCATATAATTTTTGGCATGGTCAAATGGAATATGGCAAATTAAGTTGGAATAGTATCATCGGTCGTTTTTTTGTTTTAATAGCTGATAGTGAATATAGTCGAAAAATTTTTGAAAAATGTTCAAGTGATATGCCATTAGTATTACATCCAAATGCAAGTCGTTTATTAGGACATGATAATATTGCATTTATGAATGGTCATACACATAAAGCATTACGTATTGCATTATTACCATTATTTACAACAAAAGCTCTATCAGTTTATTTACATATTCAAGAACAAGCTATTCGTGATCATATGAAAAAATGGTGTGAAATGAGTAGAATATCAAAAGATAGTATTGAAATGCGACCATTAATTTATGATTTAAATATTAACACAAGTTTATCAGTTTTTCTTGGTCCTTATTTAACTGATGATATTCGTCAAGAATTTAAAATAAATTATACAAATTTAACTCGTGGAATGTTTGCAACACCAATTTATTTTCCAGGTACACAACTTTATAAAGGTGTTCGTGCTGCTGAATCTATTCGTCAATCATTACAATCTATTGTTAAACAATGTAAACAACGAATGTCAATTGAAAATGAACAAGCAACTTGTTTATTAGATTTTTGGATGATTTCAACAATAAAAACAATTCATGAAGCACAAAATAATAATCAATCAACACCACCACAACATACTTCCGATGAAGAAATAGCTAAAATTACATTAGATTTTCTATTTGCTGCACAAGATGCTTCGACTAGTTCATTAACATTTGCGATACATGAACTTTGTAAACATCCGGATGTACTTGAAAAAGTTCGTAATGAACAAAAATTGATTCGTCCAGATCCATTAGCATCACTTACACCTGAAATATTAACACAAATGAAATATACATGGCAAGTTATGAAAGAACTTTTACGGTTACGTCCACCAGCAACACTTGCTATTCATGTTGCTAATAAACCCGTACAAATATCGGAAGATTATACAGCACCGAAAGGTACTTTAATTATTCCAAGTATATGGAGTTCAAATCGTAATGGTTTTCCAGATCCTGAAATATTTGATCCGGAACGATTTAATTCTGATCGAATGGAACATATGAAATTTGATAAAAATTTTTTAACATTTGGTGCTGGACCTCATGCTTGTATTGGTCAACGTTATGCTATGAATCATATTATGTTATTTATTTCTCTTTTAACTGATATGAATTTTGAACGTGCTCATCATCCTGATATGGATAAAATTATGTATTTACCAACAATTTATCCGGCTGATGGTTGTAGACTTAAATATATTGAAGCTCGTGCTTAAATATATTAACTTTTACAAGATTTGTTTTACTAGTATTTGTCGATTGATATATTATCGAATTGAAACTATATACTCTCTGACAATTTTTAGATGAATATTTTTCTATTTCTATTTTGTTTATCAATAATATCTTTTCAATTACTTCGAGATAAGATTTGATCGATGAAAAATATTAAAGTTAAAATTTACCAATTGATTTGTATCTTAATTATTGATAACAGACAGAATGTCTGTGTTTTGACTTGAGATGAGATTTTAAATTGTTTTTTATTTGTAATTTGTACGATATTATCATGCATCATATTTTCTTCATCAATTCATTTTTGTAAAAACATGTATAATAGTAATATTCCATCAAGATCTAGTCGGAGTTTTTATGCCATTTGTATATACTATCACTATATTGGAGACTAAATATATTTATTGAGAAAAATATTCCGTTATGAAGGATACGAGTGAAAGAATAAAAGAGCACAACAAAAGCGGTTTTTATCCTTATGATAATTACTCAAATGAAGTTCTAGCCAATAGTATATTAGGAATTATAAATTATTAACACGATCTTTGCTCTATTAATTAAAATTATAAATTTCGACTGTCAAATATTGTTAGATATTTACTCAGCCATGATAGTTGAGTATTATATATAATATCTTATTCAATATTTTCATTTTTTTTTCGTTCTGTTTTTCTCAACTAATAAATTCGATTACCTTTATCATAATTATTTTATACAAAATATTATTATTCAATTTCTCTTATTAATCCTTTATAGGTGTAAGTATTATTATGATTATTTTTGTATATAATAACAATCAATACTTATCTTAGATAATATATTATATACTTCATATAGATTTACCTAAAAACGAATGTCCACAGATTAAATAGATCTCTTCGTATGGTTTTTATAAAAAGACTAAAACGTTCAATAAAAAACGTTCGAAAAAATGTTGTCTTTGAAATTTGTACATCTTCGACTAATCTATTGTATCATGTGTTATAAAATGATAAGGATTATTTAAGATACTAAACATATTTCGATGTGAGTGTATGTACGTACATGAAATAGATTCAATTAAATGAATTTATTATTGGTGATAATCAACATCTTCCTCTATTGTTTGTTTCTTGTGGTTGATAATGATCGAAAATTTCCGTTATTACTAAAACATAATTCTCACTTCATTTATTGTTTGGTTTTCGCATTAAATCGTATGTGTTTCATACATTATTCAGAGAAATCTGAGGAATACAATACGTCAACATAGAAAAGTATTTGTGCTTCTTATCATATGTTACATGTAAGTCAAAAAACGTTCTTTCTTCACACAAGAACAGTATATGTACATATAATGAGTATCAGTTGGAGGTCTTGATCAACGTCGTTTGCGGAAATATTTATTAGTTAATAATCAATATAACAAATTGGAACGACCTCATTGAAAATGACTCTTATACATTACCTGTTACTATTAATTTAGCTTTATAACAAATTATGGAATTTGTATGTTAGATAAAATAATGATTTTGTTTTTTATTCATATAAATAGGATGAAAAAAATGAAGTTATCATAATTAGTGGATAGTTTGTTCTTGTATATTTAATTAATATAATTTTTTGTTTTCATCTTTTCCTTTATCTTTAGTCCTGGAAAGATTATAGTTTAAGATGGAATCTCGAAGAATATGGACACCAGATATTCTTTTATATAATAGGTGAAAGTATTAAAACTAGAAAAAAACTAAATGTATTTGTTTTTTCTTTTCTTTATTTATGTAAGGTGTTGATGAAAATTTTGATAGTACAACAGAAGTCAATGCAGTTGTACAATGTAAGGGTGATGTCTTATATGTTCCTCCAGGAATTTTTAAATCTATATGTTCATTTAATATTATTGCATTCTCTTTTGTAAGTTTTAATCTTTCATATTTTCTTGGATACACAAATATGTACATTAAAATTTGGTTCACGGACATATGATGAAGCTGGTTTGTTATTTAAGAAAAATAAAATATATATTTGCATTATATATTCTTATAGAAGTAAATCTTACTGCAGAAAGTAATAAAGGTCAATTGGATGCTTATGTAAAAAGTGCTGAATGGAATTTAGAAGGTATATATGATTATCTTAGATTTTTCTGCAATACATAATGCCATGAAATATGATTGAAAATGTCGGTTTGATCAAGTGTGGTACGATGATTGTCGCTGATAATATTCTATCTCCTGGAGCACCTGATTATGTAAATTATGTTCGAAATAATCCGCAATATACATCAACATTTCATGAATCAACTCTTGAGTGTGATAAAAATACCCGTGATGGTGTCGAAATTTCAATACGACAGTAAATTTAATTGTAAGAAAGTAAAATTTCTTTTTTTTAATTTTTTCTATAAAATAAAGAATCTGAAACGAAGAAAAACTAAAATTGATGTTTAATTGAATGATTAACATCTACTTTTCGAAAAATATATAATTTTACGAGTGTAGTTTTATCTATCTCTATTCAACGATTTTATACAATTAGTCATCTTAGTTAGAATATTCACAGAGATAGAAATGCATCTCTAATCAACTTAAAAAACTCTTACTAATTACATATTTCATTAATTAATAACGTCTTGACACAAAATTTGTCAGTGAAGACGATTGCTATGAATAGATACACTATTATAAATTTGTTTTCTTCAGGTACAATAATAGTAGACATAAATATGAACAACGTATCGTTCAAACGAATCATTAAATAAAACAGCAATTACACAGATCATATAATGTTGTACCATCAAATGTGATAAAAAGTTTTATTGGCGTTGATACTTTCTATTATTGTCATCTGCAGAATCGTTAATTGAATATAGAAATGTAAGGAATGTTTCTCAACGACAATTATTCTCTTCAAATAAGTATCAATGAATGGG